AAAATGATTAAGCTGAAATTTTATCTCAAAGTGCTGGAAAGTAAATTTATGTATCCAATTATTATCAATACAGTAAAAAAATGGTTTCTTTAAATTAATTATTTTCTGTTTGAAAATAATTCAGTCAACTGAAAAATTAAATCTGTTGGAAAAATCAGAAATGACTGTGAAGCAATCGTGGGAGCTATGGGCGAAGCGAGCAAAATGTGATGTCTTTAATTTCAAAAATCGTTTAATAATAGCTTTTAAAAGATTTTGTCTTACATGATAATCATGATAACATTTCTAAATATAGTTTTCTTTGATCTAAGAATGCTGGAGTTTGCTACCCTATGCCCAATTAAATTCTCAATTTCCTGAAATACTCATGTTACTAATTCCTAATGAGAGTTATTGAAGTTAAAAATAAATGCATATTTATTTAGTATTCAATACGGTGATAGCAAGAAATGCCAAATGCATCCTGAAACTTAATTTCTCCGCTAATATTTCTCCTAATAAATACATCGGGGAGAAATAATTACCTTTGAAAAATGAGACCAATTAGCTGACTTAATTCGTTTTTCCCAAAAGGAATTCATCTAAGTGAGTGTATGAAAACAAATAGAATAGTGAATAAAACAAATAATAAAACGATGCATATAGAGTTTCCTAAAAGTAAACAAGAAAATAAGGATACTTCATTCGCAATATTGTAATTAGCAATATTTCGAATTTTATGAAAGAAATTTAATTAAAGAAGTTATTTTTTCTCGTCGTTTTGACATATGTATAATTAAAACTGAAACGTAAGCTATTTTCTTTCTTTTTGTCTATTTACTTCTTATACATGACAATATTTATCTATTGATTAATTCTTTTTTTTTTGTGGAAAATTTTCTGTTTATTTTGCTTACAAATAAGCAGCAAAATGAAATTATACACTTCTTGTTTCCACTTACATATTCGTTCAGAAAATAATCCATGTAAAATAAGTGCTTATTATAACATTTTTCGACATGAAGCACGGTTTTATATTTTTAAAAGTAGTTTCTATTTTTTTTTTTACTAATTTATAAGTTGATGTTATGACGCTTAATAATAATATTCAAAATAATTGGTTATGGAGCTGAGCTCTATGTAGCAAAGAAAAAATCAGGCATGTTTCGCGAATTGCTTTCACAAAGATAATAAAATAAATTGAAATTTTAAGATCCTTTATTATTAAACCAGTGAACTCTGAAAATTAATTTCTTTTAAGCGATGTAAAACAAAATAGCAGCTCTAGTGCTTTTTTTTCGTACGAAACTTCTCTCTTTCTGAAGGGTCTATAACTAAACCAGCAACATCTACTCTTTCCAATTAGAATGAAAAAAATTTCCATGTATTTTAAACAATTATACAGCTAGATTACGATCTGGGACCGGTAAAGAGTGTTTCAGTCTTTCGCCGTAAAAATAAATTTTTGACCTTAAGCAAAACGCGACCATAAAAATACAGATTAACCCGAAAATTTTTACCGTAAAATATATGACCACTAACCATAAATTAACTTTATTCTGCTAAAAGTTACCTTCAATTCTCGTGGAAGACTCGTGGAACAAGGCGGAATATTGTAGTGCTTTCATTCATTTAAGAATGATAAAATTGCTCGTTCCTTTTCCGCGATCATTAATGTAGAGTGAGTTAAGATCGAACCAGGGAACTATGTGTTCATTACCTAGTGTTGTAACTACCTTAGAAATGAATGTGTAGTATGCCAAAAAAATGACTAACTTTTGATCTAATGATCAGATATTCACGTTCTAGGACTCAATCTTAATGTCTCAAGAAGATGATCTCAAATATGCAAATTAGAAATTGCAAACGATATTTCACTTAGCGAAATCAGACACAAAAACGTACTTTCTCTGAATAAACATTTTTTGACGGATTTGGATTCAAACCACCAAAATATAGGGGGTAGCCGCAATCTGGGAAATATGGTCCGAATAATTTGGTCAGGATGGAGCTCCAAGGCTTGGACCCCTTAATGTTAATTTTACTTTTTGCGTATTTCATTATATCTCGAGATTTTTTTTAAACGAAATGAAAGTGTTTTGCACACAATTATAAAGTTTGATTATCCAAAGATAATTAGGTGGAAAAAATAATTTTCTCTAGATATTAATTATTTTTTATTATTTTATTTATAAATGGTAGAAAAAAATCTGAATTGTAAGGTATTAGTTTTTTGAATCATTTTAATGAATATAATTTCACATGGCAGAATACGAAATCTGTGCAAAATCGGTTGTAAAGTCCCAGAGAAATTAAATTTAAAAAAAGTCACATCTTTAAAATTTGATTTCTCAGGAACTATTCGACCGATTTTGCTCGAATTTTGTATTTCGCCATGCAAAATTACGAGCTTTAAAATGTTAACATTTTATACCTTAAAATTCAAAATTTTTGGCTAATATTTAATAAAACAATAAAAAACAATTAATAATTGCTAGCATTTATTTTTTACAGGGAATTATCTTTGGATAAACGAATTTTATAATTGTGCGGAAAAATTGCTTAAATTCGCTTAAAAATATCTTGAGATATAGCGAAATACGCAAAAAGTAAAAATAATGTTAAGAGGACTAAACTTTGCAGCACTCTCCTGACTGAACTATGGGGATCATATTTCCCAGATTGCGGCTACCCCCTATGTTTTGAGGATCAGAAATCCAAATCCGCCGAAAAATGGTTTGTTTATTCAGAGAAGGTACGTTTTTGTACCAAACTTAAAATATTGTCTGCACTTATAAATTAACATATTTGAAGTCACCACATCGAAAAATTAAGATTTAGTTCTAGAACGTTGAGATCCGATCATTAGATCAAAAGTTAGTTAGGCTGGTCCGTTTGTTATTTTGTGCACTGTACACCCCAGAATTGATTAAAGAAGCTTAACATAATGACCGTACAAATAAACTGACAACTCTACCAAGTTTTCTGAAGCTCATTACAATTACGGACACTAGGTTATTTTCTCAGAGAAGGGTGTGAATTAACGGCCAGCTCTCAGAAATTTACCAAATTTTTTGGATACCTGCAACAAGCTGCAAAAAAAAATATAGGGGTTCCAGATGAACCGATAAGTATTGTAAATAAGGCTCGTTTTTTCTTAAAAAAATAATTGTCCAACAATAAGGGTCAGTTTAGGAAGAAAATTGCAGGAAAAAGAGGATAGATTTAAATACTGCTATCTAGACAAATGAGGTATTATTTCTGATCTATTTTCTGAATGAATTGATACCAACTCCATGTCGATAGAACAAATAGTTTTATAAATTTAGATTTTATGTAATAAAAAAACAGTTTTGTACTATTACATAGTTATCATACGCTTAACATTATTACAATCATCATGCGCTTACGTAGTTATCTAGGTAAATGAGGTATTGTTCCCAAGGTATTTTCTTACACGTAATCGAATAAAATGAAACAAAGTTTATAAAACTATTTGTTTCAATTTGTAAGAAAAGAGTCAAAAATTGCAATTTTTATACATAAAATCCTCATTACTGCAAAAATATTAGTATATCTATATTAGTATGTTATATTAGTATATATTAGTATANGGCACTTTCTGTGGCCAATGGACAATAGTTCCAAGTGCCCGCCATTAAAAAAAAAAACATTATTGCAATCATCATGCGCTTACGTAGTTATCTAGGTAAATGAGGTATTGTTCTCAAGGTATTTTCTTACACGTAATCGAATAAAATAAAACAAAGTTTATAAAACTATTTGTTTCAATTTGTAAGAGAAGAGTCAAAAATTGCAATTTTTATACATAAAATCCTCATTACTGCAAAAATATTAGTATATCTATATTAGTATGTTATATTAGTATATATTAGTATATCAACTGAATTTTTATATTTTGGGGGGTTGATTTAACGTAAGAATTACGTAAGAAGCAATACCTTCCTTGTCTAGTGAGCAAAATTTAAGCCTATCCCCTTTTTAACCACTCTTTATCCTCAATCTAATCCTTAGAGATAAAATATAAAATGTACCAATATCTTCAATATTATGTTTATATCATATGCTAACAATGATAAAACTGAAATCCTTTATCCACAAAGTGCAAAACTATTATACATTCTTATATCATACAGCTGTATATATATATATATACAGCTATATATACATATATGCTTTAAAAATGTCTTTGAATTTTTAAAGCATTTTAGAACGCTAATTTNCTATATATATATATATATATTTATATATCTCGTTCAAGTTTTAAATCGTTGATAAAATACTTTTTATTCAGCCCCTGAAGTTCAAATGCATTTTTTAAGCATGTGGTGAATGACATTAGATGTTAATACAGTTTTTTTTTCAAATATAAATTCATTAATTAAATTTAATTAATCAATGTTAGTTTTATATAAGAGGAAAAAAATTTCTTATATAAGATATTTAGCAGGATATAAATTACATATAATTATAATAATAATGTGTAAATATGTATATACATATTTATATTAATTGTAATTATTTAATAAAAAGTAACTAAAACAAAAATTTTTCTTTGTTAACCCAAGTAGGAATTGACTTTGAAAAATAAAATTTTATATTTCTTGTTATTTTTGCAGACAATAGGAGAAAACTCATTCGATTTATGAGAATACCAGGCTTGAAAAATGAAAAGTCAAGAAAAACCTTTTTGAAGTTTTCTGAGTGCATTCAATGAACTATGAGGGGCTGCGCAAATATTCATTATTTGAAGAATTAGATATTTCTATTGTTCATTAAAATTTATGTACCTCATAAATGCTTACTGCACCTTTTCAGAAAAAAAGAAAGATTAGGAATCTTTTAAAAATCCTGAACTATATCTAACCCTTTTAAAACTATTCCAATAAAACGTCTGGTAAAGATATTTTGTACAACAGTGCTTGAAATTAAAAAGAAAAAAAAACATTTCTACTCTTTTTTATTTACCATGTTTAAATAGCGTTCTGTCTTTGCCATAGAAAGAAGTCAGATCGCAAAGCATCAGAAGCCTCTTCGCTCTCCGAAGATCGCCAAAGTCACTTCGAAACTGCCAGAGGAGGATTGTCCTCTAAAAGATCATCCTCATCGGAATACATTCCATCGGAAACAACAACACCAGACAGCACAACGTCGGGCAGCTTTGTTTTGGACAACGGATCCATTACCGAGAACGACTCCTACAATAGCTTTGCTCATATTGAACCAAGGTCAGAGAGTTCTTCTGGAAGAGTTCTGGAGCTGGGAAGAGAGAAGGAGGTAAGGACTCTCTATCGATTTATTTACTCTTTTTCTTTGCATTCCAAAGTTGACAGGCTTCCAAAAAAGGAACCTGAATTACTTTTGGGACTTGGACGTGATTTCTTTTTTTTTTTTTTATCTTTTTGGATTATTTGATTATGTTCCTGCTATTTTTAGTCCTCCTCAATTCTGATTTGAAATGTTATTATTTAGTTACATTTCATCGTTCCGCATTATGGAATTCTTTTTCTCGTAAAATTTTTATCTGAAATTTATGATGTTATTTTCCTGGGCCTATTTATTAAATAAATTAGAAGTAGGGAAAACTGGCGCAAACAAAAGATAAAATATGGCATATGGCGCTATATATTCATAAGTTCAACTACAGTGAGCACTGAGAGTTAGTGCCATTACTGTTAGGCAACTTCATCATCTATTGTAGTTTGAATGTGATGGCATTTCCAAAGAGAAGTGTAAGCAAGATTCCTCATTTTCTAACAGTAGTGTTCCGCTGTTTATCTAAAGATTTCGTTGTATTTTACATCGCTCTAATACTTCAAAATGTTTTCTACGAAAGGCATAGGAAGAATGGATCGACATTTTGGCATAGTGATGATATTTTTTTGAAAAACCTTTTATGGGACAGTGAATCAGATAAAGTAGAAACTAGCAGAGTGGGATAGTTCCCTAAATGACCATCTTCTTCAGAAAACGTTCGATCGGAAACAACAGCACAACATCGCGCAGCATTGTTTTGGACAACTGACCCATTACAGAGAATGACTCCAATAACTTTGCTCATATTGAGCTAAAATCGGACAATGTTTAGGCAAGAATTCTGGAGCTGCGAAGTGAGAAAAAAAATAAAGAGGAATAAGGAACTATTTTGATAAATTTACTTTATTTCCTTCTAAAGTTTACAGGCTTCTAGAAAAGAAACTTGACTCACTTTTTAGGCTTTGATGTGATGTCTTGTTGTCTCTTTTAGATTATTTCATTGCGATCATACGACAGCTTTTTCCACATTAAATCAATGCTAGATAGTTCTTCAAGAAAAGTTCTATAACTGGAAAGAGAAAAAGAGGTAAAGAAAACTAAAGAACAGCATCGATTTGTTCACTTTTTTGCATTCCAAAGTTAACAGGATTCCAAACGAAACTTATATTACTTTTTGGGGCTTTTACGTGTTTTCTTTTATCTTTTTAAACCATATGATTGTGTATCCGCTATTTTTTTTTAATCATATTAACCTCCAATTTATTACTTGAATTGTCATTTTTTCCCTTTATCAATCCATATTTTTAAAAAAATTCTCTCTCAAAATTTAAACCGAATGCTATGATATTATTTTCTTGAACGTGTTTGTGAAATAAACTGTGTGCGTGCTTATTTTAAAAATTCTCATCTTCTAGAAGGTAGATATCCGTAGGTAAACAGAAAAAAAACATATTTGGAAACTGAAAAGCCATATCCGTCGCTTAGTTTAAAAGTGGTATAACTCCATATCCTACCTGTTCGTGTCTGACATTGATTAAAGATCACAACCAACCGGACTTGTGGTTTACGATATTGCATTGCCACTGTTCGCTTTGGCCGATATCCTTCAACTTTTCACAGAATATGGACTCGATGGTTTCGGGACAGTCATTCGGAACGTAGCAAGATTTAGCCTTTGTCCCTCCTTTTTTAATAAACAAGAAAGCAGGCGTCTTATCCACGTGACCACAAGGGGTTTCACAACGTCATTGAGAATCACCAGAAAAGAAATGGAGTCGTTTATAGGACAACTCAAACAGTAAACGTTTGCAGCTTAATGGATAATCAACGGTATTGATAATCAAGGCTTCTGCTACTCTTGAAACTCAAAAGCACCTTCAGTGGTGGGATCAGTTGTCAACTTGGACACATTAATGGCGGCACGTCATCTTTGCCGACAAATACTACGCCTATATGCAAAACTATCAAGGGCACATCCGTATCTGGCGAAATCAGGAAGAGCGTACATTGCCAACTTGTATTCGACATCGCAGTACTTGTCATCACCAACAGTGATTGCATGGGTGCAATCGAAGATGTGAGTTATTCATCTAGTGTTCGAATTCATTTAGATTTCTATCCGTTACATTTACAGCGTATTAAATTCCGTGGCTCTGCCCTACCGAGTTCTTTCCGACGCTATTTTCCAGCAAGATAATGCACGACTGCATGCTGCATGCTACTATCGGGGCTTTTTTTAATGCAAAAGATGTCTGATGGGCCCCATAACCAGCTCATTCTCCGGATCTTTGAGCAACTTAACACGAAAAGTTAATGATTGCTGTGTGAATGACACTTTACCACTCATCAATTAATATAGTATATCAGCTTATGGCATAGTCTGAAACTGTATTGACTGAGGTCCCCGAAAATTCCAAGAAATGTCGTTTTGAGTGCTTCTCTAGGTGGATAAAGGCTGTTATTTCTACCAAAGGTGATAACTATTGGTGTTGATTTCTCTGGATCTTCTTAATTTCCCTCTTTCCACCATAATAAAAATACCCAATGAATACCATTCTGCTCTTTACATTTCTTTCTGGAGTGCCAGGAAGGAATGCAAGTGGCAGATTACCAACAGTATAATAGCCAACAGTATAAATAAAAAAGTTAAAGTTTTAAAAAGTTGTTAAAAATGATTAAGAAAACGCATCAAGCATCATTTTCAGTTAAATCATTAATTTCTCTCATTTTTATCTATTTATTATACAATATTCTGACCTGTGAACTCTAACTCTCCTAATATTTCTTATTATAATTATAAATATTTTGATTTTTTTTTTAAAAAAAAGAAATTTTAAGAGAACATTGAAACCACAAATATTTTTTAAAAATTTTAAATATTGGTATCACGCAATTTTAAACATCTGTGAAATTATTGAAATTGTTTAAAAAAGGACGTCATTTTTGCGCATACGCGCTTGAACGGTAATAATATAATGTAATGAGAATTTTTCTCTAATTAATCAATCATCATAAATTAAAAAATCTGCTTTCAATATTAATTAAATGATGCATAATGTGATTCAGAGTTTTTATGCAAAAAAGTAAACTTTTTGTGAAGAGTGATTCATTTAAAACTACATCTCACCATAAAAATTTTATAAATACAGTAGCTATCGATTTTTAAAACTAATCAATTCAGTTTACTCTGTGAATGAAAAAAAAGTCTTGGTCAAATATTTTACCATTTACAATTCCGAAATTCAACAAAAAAAAGCTTGAAATTTGGGCTTTCATTTAAAAAAATTATTCACTCTTTTTATTCTTTTCATGACTGCAAAAATATTCACGTCAATTTTATTTTTGTATTTTGAGGGAATTTATACGCTCAACAGATATTAATTTAGCTTTTATAATCCTTCACTTAAACTACTTTTAAAGTTAGTTTTTTTTGCTCTTGTTTAAAAAAATTGATGTTTTAAAAAATCTAGAAAAAAAATATCTATGTTCATAAAGGAAATTAATTACATCCTCTTTTTTATTGCTGAAGTAAAAGTGATTGATATTAATGATACTGAATTTAAGGCTGACACGTAAATTAAAATTTAGCATTAATGTTATGAGTAACAAACGTCTTTGCGAATTTTTCAGATCTCAATGTCTCGAAAATATAATGTAATTTCTATATGCTTATATACATATCTGCATATAGATTACCATTAAAAACCGAAATAATTAATGTCGAATTTATAAACGCTTCGGTGAATGAGTGAAAATACACTGGTGGACAAAATTAAGAGATGGAAGACATTTTCCGAAATATGTCAAAAAATACTGAACATAAATAAATGAAATTTGGTATGGATATAGCTTATTCCATGATAATAAAGTATGCAGAACAAAAATGAAAGTGCCGTTCACTGGCAAGACCTATTGCTAATAAATACAATGTAGTTTGAACTTAAGAATAAAAGATGACAGTAAAAGTGAGACTTGTGCAGTGTGTGTTACCTTTAGTATGGTGCATGGTCACCCCTGACAGACAGACAGCATGCACAACGAGTATGCATGCTGTTAATAAGGGAGTTAAGGAGGACTTGTGGAAGACCCTCCCAATCTTCCACCAGAGCAATTTTTAACTCCAAAACGGTTCTGGGGGGAGGTTGGCGCATCGCAATAACTCTCCCAAAAGCACCCCAAGCATGTTCAATAGGATTCAGGTCAGGGGATTTGGCTGGTCAATCCATTCGTTGAATATCCTCGCTTTCCAGATACTCATCAACCATGAGAGCCCTATGTGGTCGCGCATTGTCGTCCATAAAAATTAACTCAGGGCCAGCAGCGCCCCTGAAAAGACGCACATAGAGCTCTAGGACCTCCTGCCTGTACCTCTGAGCATTCATGGAACAATTGTTAAACACATTGAGTGATGTGAGGGTATCTTGCATGGTCCCTGCCCAAAGCATGTCCCCCACCAGCATAATGGTCCCGTTCGATAATGTTGCTGAGATGGTATCCGGTTCCAGGTTCCCTCCATATCAATAGCCGTCCAGAAATAGCGTCATAGAAATGTGCGACATAGAAGAATATAGCGTCTTAGAAATGTGCGAAAATGCCTTCCATCTCTTAATTTTGTCCACCAGTGTATTTATGAAAATTCTTTTTTTTTCATGTATCTCCAAATTTAGACTATTAGCAATGATAGTGATTGATAAATAGATATTTTAATTAAAAGTTGTTGATTCTTAATTACAACTTCCCAAACTGGGCAGGTCAGTGGGGAGACATCAAACTAAGAGTAGCACCCTGGCCCTCCAGATTGGAGGTTGAGCATAAGGTTAACAACCCCACCTCGTAAAAACCTACTTGTTATGGAAACTGAAATCGTTTTGATCCATCTTTCTGAAAACGATTTATCTGGAATATAAGAAACATTGATGGAAATGGGTTGGTTATGTTCTACATAAACCCGAAACATTTAAAGTTAAACAAGTTTCTGATTGGAGAGTTCAGGGCAGCAGAAAAGGAGAAAGACCAAAAAGTGGCCAAGTCGTTTGTGGATGATGGATTGAAAATGGATCTTCCGCTCACTAGAAAGCTTCTTTCGGATCATTTGTGAGTTTTTTAATCGAACATAACTCGGGGCTTTGTGCCAATGAATTCACAATTACTTCGAACTCTCTTGCGGGCATTGCACCAAATTTTGAGAATGAGTCCGCATGGCCTGAAGTGAGGTGAGATGGATCAGGTGATAGAGCGTTCGCCTTCAATGTAGTGACCCAGGTTTGAATTCCAGCCGTGGATGGTTAACACTAATTCTACTCTCAGCTTGCGTCGAACACAGTGTTGACTTAAAATATCCTCAATAGTAAACGGATCATGGGTTAGACTTCCCTTACGATTAGTCTAACCAAGGGAGGTTCTCGTTGCTTTTCTCTCCGTGTAACGCAAATTCTGGGTTAGTTTTATCAAAAAGTCCTCCATGAAGGGTAATTTGCACCAATGAGTGATCCAAGAATTCCCTTGTCTTCTGTGTTGATTTCCAAGTTACAGGACTACGGAGTTGAACATTGGTAGAAGTAAACTCAGAATTGGGTTAGCTCTTCAACGCCGGTTAAAAAATAAAGTAAAATGGTTTGGGGTACTTAACCAATTACTTACCATAGTTACTTTTTTAAAAATTAACAAACTGTATGAATTGAGGTATAAGCTGCTGGAATTTATTTCCTTTCAAATAAAATTGTGTGATCAGGTTTAAACTGTCTTTTTTTTCGTTCCTAGGATAAAATAAGAACTGAAAGTGAATCAGCTAGTGAAAGCTATAAGGATAGCAAGTCATCTAAAACGCCGCAACCAACAGACGAAGATCTATTGGGGAAACGTAAGTTATTCTTACTGAATATCTTGTGTGTTTCGCAAAAAGCTTTGCTACTACTTTCTGCAAAAAAGAATGTAATTAATGAAAACACTTTATAGAAGAGACACTTTATGAATTTAGTAAAATCTTGCTTTACGGAAGTGAGGTACAGTGCTCAAAATAGAAAACAAACTGAGCACCTTGTAAACCTTTGATCTAATGATTTGATTTTCGTGTACTAGGATTATGCAATTATATAGCTAAAATACATATAAGGTATCTTGAATTTCTAACTATATAAAAATAGCCTATCTAAAGCTAAGAAAATAACTTTAAAATATTTGAAAATTATTGATAGATACGTGCTAGCCCCCCTCCGTAGCTCTACTTCTATGTCTTGATGATTTTTGAGACTTACCTTAAATATGCTATAATATTTATGCAGACGATATGCAAGCAAAAACCAGAAGCAAATACCTTCTTTCTTCAAATAAACAATTCTTTTTATGACGAATTTTAATTATTGACCCTCAAATATGAAGGGAAAGGGCCATATAGAAAATATGGACCTATTAATTTAGGTAAGAAATCAATCAAAAATTTGAAACCCTGAATATGGGGAAACGAAAGTATTCCTCTATCTCAGCAATTGCTTAAAATAATCCAATAATTTTGATGCACAACTATAAAACTAATTTATCTAAATTAGTTTTATAGTATAGATTATTAATTATTATTTGTTAATGAGGAACTAGGTGATTTAAGGGCAGTTATTAGTGTACTCAAATTGACAGACTGGTAAAGGAAACTTACGTTGCATTATCTTTTTTTCCATTCAAAATCTTATTTTCGAAATGGAATTCTTTTCTTTTCAGACTCGAAAAGTGATCCAGAAAGACACGGTGCATCATCTCCTCTCTACAGTGCCAGTAGCGATTTATCCGAAAAACTGACTTCTATGACAGTCTCCTCCTCCTCGGTAAGTCACAAGGTTCCTAAGGACTCGGACACATCATGGGAAAGGCAGCACAGTCCAACACAGCCATTGTCCACCTGGTGCAGTGAAGGAGCCATACCCAAACAAAGACATGTTGAAGAAACCAGGCAAGAAGGAAGAAGGAAAAAAGATAGAATACGAAATAGATCTGAGCCTAGGGAGCATGTTTCAGCACTTCAGGTCAGACAGAAATTTTTTTTATAACGTTTCTCAGTTTTATTTTATTCCTTTACTTTTTTTATTAGCGTTTGATATAAAATGAATGAATTGAAAAATTATCTATAAACTGTTCCAAGGGTCAAAGTCTTGAAATAGCGATCAAAACTGTTATTTTATTTCCGCCAATTATTTTTTTAGATTCGTATAAATATGTCCGTTTTATAATTTCGTTAAGTGTTATGGTTGCTGTAATTGTAGTTGCTTATTTACGTCGCACTAGAAATGCACCATGAGCTATTATCAAATGATCTCTGGGGATGATCTGAAGACGTGACATCGCAATTTTGATTCTCTGTGGAGGGAATAGCTCCCCGCTTTGGTAGCCCAATGACCTACCCACGAATTCAAGTACAGTACGTTAGAGCAGCTTAGCGAGGACCGATAACGCATGCACTTGGACACTTCGTAGCTTATGAAATAAATAAATTATATTATAACCTCTCCCCTTATGTTTAAGCTAGCTATAAATTAATTACCATTGATAAGGTAACCAATTTATATGAAAATGCCTTACTTAAGACAAGCTTGCACAAGTTCTTTAATGTCATAATCTTATCGTGTAATTCTTTTTAAATATTACATAATACATGTTTACATTTTCCCATTTCATGCATGATAACGTTATAAAAATACGCACAATCCTATGTTTTACAGTTAGTTCTATTTCTTTCTTTTTTTTTTTAATTTTTAGATCAGATGCACTGTTATATAAAATGTAGATAATGCAGAATAACTTTTAGAAAACTAATATTATAAAATAATATTAGTAATCATAATAGTAATAATATCAGTATAAATCTCCAACAAATATTTATTACCTAATTGCTGTTTTCTAGAAAAGATTTTTACGTCGATTCCAAAAATTTGTTAAAAAACACTTTTAAAATGATATTTAAGTCAATCTGAATAAATTTGTTATCTGAAACAATCAGTGTCTTACCCTTATCAAATTATTAGATGCACTCTAAGACAGACTGCATGTAAAATCTTAATTATTAGGTGATACTAGACAGCTTTATTGTTTTTACGAGACTGGAACCGGTTTGGACTTTGTTTACGTACATGTATCAATTGGTTAAATTATACGATATATTATATTAATATAGAATATTTATTATATCAGGTATTATATTAATATATTATAATAGTTACACCAAATTATCGGACGCACTGTAGTTTTTTAATAATTACACGTTTTGCATGAGTGTATAGGCAATACTTTTATATTTAAACATACATGTAATGGGTTTTTATTCAGGAGATTTTTTATATAATTCCTATTTGTATTTATTTGTAACGTACTGCATTACAATGTTAAGCAATTGATACACGAACATAAACAAGTGCCGGTTTCTGTCGAGTAAAAACAATAGAGCTGTATAGTACCACCAGATAATTAAAATTTTACACGGAATCTTATAGATGAATAAACTTGTTACATGAAACTATTGCATATATATTAACTACTTTTATGTTGCTTGCAAAAAATAATCAGTTTTTCTATAAGCATTATGTTATTCAAGAGTTGTTTTAAAAATAAATATTGAACAATTGTTTTCAATCACAATTCAGTTTTCACGCCTGGAGCGATCGACAAGGTCAAAAAGCAGAAGTCCCGAATTCAAACTAAGTGATGATGAATCTGGGGTACGCTATCCAGGCCGAGGACCTCTATGTTCTCACTGCGGCGAAAAACTGGCTCATCCACCCCTCTCTGCACCAGCTGATTGGGACAGGAATTATCCGAGATTTTGGGACATGCCCACACCACACCATCACGCCATGATGTACAGGCAGCCACGAAGCTACAGAGACACAGTAGCTCCTGTTGGATACAGTGCTCATAGTCGATACAACGTAGGCCCTTATGGAGGAAGTCACTGTCATATGCCAAGATCCTGGTCTTCGGAAAGCGCGGCGCCAGAAATAGACTTATATCCTGAAGATGATGAAGATGCTGGTAATTAATTATGTTTAATTTTTTTTTCCATTTAAACTTTAAGAAATTCCGTAAATGTGACACTTCACTCCACCTAAGAAGAGGAACGCTAGCCAAAAGCAGAAGCCTTAAGATGAATGATATCTCTGGCCAATGAGAGAGAAGAGATGAAGTTTTACCACCTTTTTGGCCTGAGCCATCAGTCATCTTAGAGATTTTGCTTTTTGGCTAGTGTTTTCCTTCTTCTGTGAATCGAATTGTTGTTTAAACACATGCATAATGTAGCTGGTAGTAAATGTTATAAATTAGCAAAGTATTCTTTCCTACGATTCATTTTATTTTATTTTATAACTTGCGTTGAACAGCCGACCCGTTGTCATGTTTACCATATCACTAATCAACTCCGTAGACTTGTCACTTTTCCCAAACCAGAAGAAAGGGAATTTAACTTAGGAAGGAAGCAAAGGAATTTAATTTAGACCACTTCTTGGTGGAAATTATCCGGATTTGCAGTATCTGGAGGAGGAAACCACAAAAACCTCCCACGGTTAGCCCGACGGCAAGGGGATTCTAATCCATGATAGCTTTACTGCTGAGAATATTTTACTTCAGCACTTGGGCAAGTTTGAGACGGTGGGCGAGTATAAGCAGATCCTATCCATGATAAGATACTTGGCGATTGCAGATGGCATTGGTGGTGATAACGCTTAAATGTGGAGGGAGAATGAAGAAATTACTTTAATCTAAACCATAATTCGATTTTCGTTTTTTCTTGTCGGCTATTCTTGATAAATAAAATAAAGGAAAGTAAATAAATTAATAAACGCTTTTATGGGTGTGTTTCGTTGAAATGTCATTTTCTCAGAAGTACTGAAGAAATTAATAAAACAATTGGTTATTCGTCCTATCTCTACATATCCTAGAAATTAAATGAAAATTACATAGTTTTTTTTTCAAGAATATATATACATATTTTAACCTGAATGTTCACGTAACTGGCGTTAATCAGTAAGCTTGTGTTGTTGATCTGGAAAAGCTTGTGTTGTTCATCGGAAAAGTGCGGTGTAACCAAATACCGCACTAAGGCAATACCGCAACTGCTAACTGTTGTCCTGGAAATTGAACTGACTAATCAACATACTTACGAATCTGAACTTCCTTTGTAACTTGCACATCACATTCGCCCAAACTTCAGATTACCAGGTAAAAACCAGGGAAAAGATGCTTTCGCAATTTTACGCTTCCTTGATTTTTCGCGCATTTTCAACGAGATTTCTTTTTCGTTTTTTTAGTTGGGAGTTTCTCGCCAATTGGTGGAAGCGCCGCCCAGAGGTATCCCCTTGCTGTCCCTGATAATTCCAACTCTTTCTCTTCTTTTTGAAGAAGGCAGAACTAAAAATTTTTCTCTTGAGGATTTACAAACTTAGCTGTGCTCTAAGGGAATCTCACGCGCTACGAGTTCAGACTCTATCAATTTCTTTCTTAATCCTGTTTCGAATCATTCCTGACAAGCTAAATTTCTTATTGCATCTTCGTTGAGCCTTAAATAGTAAAATGATTCTCAACGAATTGGAAATGTTAAATACCTTTAAAATTTGCAATAAATTATTAAAATCAAACAATGGAGTAAATAATCTTAATATTGCTGGGTTGTGGTTTTCAGTTTTCGTAAATTCTAATAATAATCAATGATATAGAAAAAAAGAAACCATTATCTTCTTAAATTATTTATAAAAAAATTTAAATATTTTAAATTTGCTATCACGAAAATATCATTCTTCGAATTTGCTGTCACGGAAACAGGATCGTTGCAAAATGTTTTAAAAAATAAGACACAAAATTCTACCTAACTTTTGGGTTTACGACTACTAATGTTCAACTCCACAGCCTTGTCATTTTGTACCCAATCCAGAAGACCATTGAATTCCTGGATCAAGTATTGAAGAAATTTGCCCTCGTAGGAGACTTTTGGATTGAACTAACCCGCATTTGCATTACATGGAAAGGAAAACCAAAAAAAACCTTCCACGGTTAGACGGACGGCAAGGGAACTCTAACTCATGATCAGTCTACCTCTGAGGATATTTTACGTCAGCACTGTGGTCGGTGCGAGCCTGGTGCAGAATTCTTATCGACCCCTAATCGCTTGGATTCGAACCCTGTTCCCCTCATTTGAAAGCGAACACTCAATCCCCTGAGCTTTCAACTCTGGGTGCAATTGTTTCGCTGAGATTCGTACCTGGGTCATTGGGAGGCGAGCGCTCAATCCCTCTTAGCCACCGCGACTCTTATATGTTATAATAAAATATGTTCGGGAGGTTCCACAATGACCTTCTTCAATATATACCTTTAGAATCCTAGTCAAAAAAGTTTATGCGTTATAGTCCGTATATTTAATAAAGGACAGAATAACAACGCTTCGGAATCTCTCTCTACATAACTAAAAATTTTTATTTATTTTAAAGTTATGAAATTTTGTATACTGATAATTCGAAGCAGATGGAACGTCACTGTCGACATTATAAAATTCTATAACGAACCTTTCGAGTGGGATGAGAGAAAAACGAATGGAATTTTCTCATTGGAATGTCAGATATACTATAGACGACTTTTTCAAATATACGATTCGGAATTTCAATTGATCATAAATTCTACTTAGAGTTAAAGTGACGAAAATTCTGCAAGTCGAGGTTCGAAAAATATTGAAACTAGCATTGTCTTCAAGCACGAAGCTCCAACAGAGATTTCAATGCTCTAGCTACTCAGAAAGTTTTAAAACTTTTGATTGCTAGATTCCATCCTCCTAAACGCAAAGGCGATATTATAAAAATGAAGTAAGAAAATATCTGTTCTGTGTTAATAATAATAAAGGAAAGCGTCAATAATTTAATTTTTTTTCAGGAGTTCATAATGAAAGTTACAGATCTTCCTCTTGGATATACATAACAGACTCAGAAGAGCTCGAAGCGTGGAGAAATCCAAAAATACCACGAGGTAAGCTATTTTAACCATATAACAGCTTTATTTTACTAGTAGGTACCCGACGATTAAAATAACACGAGTTAAAAATATTAGAAATTCGAAAACAACCAAAATAGTAAAATTTTGAAATGAAAAATTTCAAGAAAATTGAATCGAAAAAAAACGTAAAATAAAAGATTATTTTGCTTCATAGATAAAATGGAAGAATAGTTTATATGTTTCGAGAGCTTTTTTGAACTAAAACGTTCCATGATTTCAAACAAGCAGCTAAACAAATTTTTTTTTCTAGTAAAGCATTTGCTATTTAATCGCAAAAACTACTATGGATCAATATTTTTTTTAATTGTTCTAAAATATTTTATTACATTTTCACTATAATTCCTAAACATGCTATTAAATCTTAACATTCTGTTATAATTCGGGCATTTTGAATGATTTTTTAAATGATAATCAAATTACAGAAGTGCTCCAATTTTTATCAAAATTGGCTGTCAAATGCACTACAGATTACAAAAACTCGAGGTTAATCTGATTAAAAAAAAACTCAAAAGGTAAGGTGGAAACAAGAAAAATAATTTCAAATTGTATTTATACTAGCGTATATATTTTAAGAGGCTATTTTATCTTAAAATATATACTAGCGTATATATTTTAAGATAAAAAGGATTATTAGATCAAAAATCCATGGGGATTTCCACCAACAATTGTCAGAAAGGGTAAAAACCAAAGTGTGGAGAGATCTTCGACAGAACACCATTCCAGACTGGCCGCGCCGCGAAGCGGTGGCTCAGTTTCGACTACATACCGGACATGACTGCCTTGCCGCGCACCTGTTTCGTTTAGGNGACAATTAAAATAACATGAGTTAAAATTATTAGAAATTCGAAAACAATCAAAATTTTGAAATTTTGAAATGAAAAACTTCAAGAATGCTGAATCGAAAAAAAGGTTCTTTTGCTCCATAGATGACATGGAAGAATAGTTTATATGCTTCGAGAGCTTTTTTGAACTAAAACGTTCCATTATTTCAAACGTGCAGCTAAACAAGTTTTTTTTCCAGTAAAGCATTTGTTATTTAATCGCAAAAACTACTATGGATCAATATTTTTTTTAGTTGTTCTAAAATATTTTATTACATTTTCACTATAATTCCTAAGCATGCTATTAAATCTTAACATTCTGTTAAAATTCAGGCATTTTGAATGATTTTTAAAATGATAATCAAATTACAGAAGGGCTCCAATTTTCAACGAAATTGGTTGTCAAGGGTACTACAGATAACAAAATTCGTGATCAATCTGATGAAAAAAAAAACTCAAAATGTAAGGTGGAAACACGAAAAATAATTTCAAAATGTATTTATATAAAGGTATATATTTTAAACATATAACAGAAATCTTTGTTCTGCGCCTAAATCACTGAAACAACGAATGTTAACGAAATAAATATTACAAACATACTTCAGAAAAGTGTTCTTACTTAAAATTGCTCAATTACACTTTTTAAAAAATACCAATGATCAATCACATGAAATATAATATTCGATTTTTCCATGGTGCACACGAATAATTGAGGCTCTATACTCTAGACAATACCAGATAAGACTACTGTAAAAAGTACCGATACTTAAAATACCGGTATTTCATATCGTAAGATTTTAGGAAACAAAAAATCTGATATACTGTACCTTTTTAAGTTATACTTTCTGAATCTTTGTAGTTAAATAAGCAAAGTTATGGTTTAAAATTTGACAGTGAAATAGATTTGGGAGATGCTGCGCTCATGGTTCCAATACAAAGGTTTTTGAAGTGGTACCTTTTTATAACAACCTTATAATTCCGTTTTATGTACTTTGCATGCTGCACATCATTAGATGCTAATATAATTCTTGTTTCAAATACTTATAAAAAAAAGATAATTTTAAACGATCATTTGTCTTTATTATTTCAATATTTATAAATGAATTATTTATAAAATAATTGTTAATAATGTAATTAATTATTACTTAACTAATTATTTATTAATCAATTATTGATTTATTAAGTAATATAGTTATATTTATTCTATTTATTTTATTATTTTACTCTATTATTTATTACTTTTAATTTAAGTTCTTGGAACTTAATAATTTCCCATTTGTTTAGTAGGAGTTTTGTCTCTCAAGTCAAAGCACAGTAAGAAATTTAAAAAAATATTGATGTTAACATTATTGAACTTTATTAAAGATGCATAACATGATTTTGCTTTGTTTCATTTAAAAAGTTCATATAAAAGACAGTTGGCTGAAAAGCTTACTGTTCAGTAACTGCTTAATGGAATATAATCACTGTTTGCATTTTTTTTCTAACAAAAAGAATTGTTAAGAATAAGCTATTGTAATACAGAATTAATTTATCGTAAAGTTCGTTAGCTCTGTTCAACACTCCGATTCAATTTCATGGAACTAAAATGAATCGGCTTGTTCTTGGACTTCCACTAGATTTATTTCAACGGAAAAAAGTCGTTAGAAACATTAAATAATGTCCCATTTTTATTTTTAAACATCCGACTTTCCCGAATAAATTTTTTTTACCCCAAAGAAATCGTAAAAACCAGTTTAAAAGTGCGAAAAAATTCAGAATCATTTTGCTCTTTTTCAATGCAAGTGACTATTTCAACTCGTTAAACTGTCAAAGCAGTTTTAGTCATAAGAAAAACGAATTAACGAACTCCTTTCACTTCCGTCATCGGTTTTTAAGAATTGTTTTCTTCAGTTATTAACTGAAGTGAACTGATTCGTGCATTGAAAAAAAGCTTTTCTGTGGAAAAAAACTCATTAGATGGTATTGCATAGTTCATAAAGGACTGAATATTAGTTTTTAGGAAGAATAATTAAATAAAATTGCATTTGTATTAAAATGCTTTTGTGCAAATTCTTTTGTTGTTCAGAATTAGAAAGCATCTAAGAGTAAGTTCGTGTTTATTTTAATTTTATTTAACATACCATATGGAGCAAATAAAGAATTATAAGGAGTAGTTAATTTTTGTTTAGTTTTTTTAACAAAACAAATATTTTTTTCGCCACTATTAAACTATGATAATTTCGGGAATATTTCCGTATCGTGATCTGCTACACCAACTACAATCGCTTAGGTGCCAAATTGATTTCAAACGGGAAAAATTTAAAAATAAAAGCATGTAGAGGTTTGCCCGGGGTTGGATAACAGTTATACCCTTCAAGTTAGTCCCTTTCTGTGATTTTTTTTTTTTGTTCTTGTTTCTCGTGGGCCGCTGCCCGGAAGTTGTCAAGACTTGACGATTATTCGGTCACAGATCACGATACGGAAATCTCCCCATAATTTCTTTAACCTAATTTCTTTAACCTCATTGTACTCTCTATAACTATTAATGTATACAGTTTGAAATTTTGGAGCCTTTTGTGCCGTAACATCGTTCAAATGTGCTTTAACTTTATTTTGTTACATTTAATCATACTATCGTAACTCTTAAATTTGATTACACGATAATGTGGTTCAACGTGAGTCGAACGAGGTTCATTTTAGCAATGTATTAAGATTGGAACAAATTGGCACCGTATTAAGATGTAAAATAATATAGTTCATCATTGAACTAATTTTTTTAATGAGTTTGAGGATCAGTTTATGTTTATTTTTTCATTTTTGTTCACCTGAGTAATTTTTTTTCCATAAAATATCACATTTCAAATTTAACTGAGCAATATTTCTGATAGGAAACTTAAACTTTCTAAATAATTTAAATATGAAATCGATTGTTAGCAAGCAAAATTTATTTTTTATTAAGACATTTGTAGAGAATTCGACATGTATGTTAGATGGATAATCGAATTGCAAGTAAATACATTGTCCCTCAAAAAAGATATCATCCAGAAAAACTTCTGTTTGGATGATCAGATTTTCATGAACTAAGTGCAAGTCTCAATGCGTGAATAGTCTTAGGGCCATCCCAGAAATATTGCCATAGATTTCGGAAAGCAACAGAATCCACATACATCTCTAAGCTCCTGTTCCCAGTCACAAGAACTAAAGGACCCAGGCCAAACCAAGAAAACACCATAAAACAGATCCACATTTTTAGGNTTTTTGTTTACGCAATTCAAATTTAACTGAGCAATATTTCTGAAAGAAAGCTTAAACTTTCTAAATAATTTAAATATGAAATCGATTGTTAGCAGGCAAAATTTATTTTATAATAAGACGTTTGCAGAAAATTCGACTTATATGTATGATGGATAATCGAATTGCAAGTAAAAAAAGATATCATCCAGAAAAACTTCTGTTTGGATGATCAGATTTTCATGAACTAAGTGCAAGTCTCAATGCGTGAATAGTCTTAGGGCCATCCCAGAAATATTGCCATAGATTTCGGAAAGCAACGAAATCCTCATACATCTCTGAGCTCCTGTTCCCAGCCCCAAGAACAAAAGGTCCCAGGCCAAACCAAGAAAAGACCATAAAACAGATCCACATTTTTAGGTAGAGTTCATACACTTCTGACCAGACTCTCTCATTGGATACTTTTTCTAATTATTTAGTCTAACTTTGAATTAATTCTTGCACTATTTTCAAAATTAACTCAAAAAATTTTCATCAATGATACATACTATTTTTCTGGTCTAACTCCACTGATAAAACACATCCTTCAAGACATTCACTTTTCATTTACACTCATAAAGTACAAAAGACATTTCTAATAACAATAGTATTGAGTGATTTCTTTGTCCCTAGAGAAGCCTGATTCATCATCCCGTCCTCCGCTGACTCGTACCGACTCTACAGATTCTACAGAATCCGAGAATGGTTTCCTCAATCAGTACATTAGTGTCACCCATCGGATGGTTCATCGAAAAGCCAGCGTTGAAATGTACCACCGTATTGCCAACAATCGTTTCGGTAAGTAAAGATGCTGCTGAGCGACAAAGGACTAAATTTATTCGTATGCGCATAAAAATATGTATTGTCGGTAAATAAACAAACAAATATTGAATAAGTAGATAAATATAAACAGTGTAAAATTAAATAAAACTGTGACTAAATGCACTGTAGAAAATTTTAGTTTTTTTTCTTAATGCCAAATCTGGTATCCAATATACACAAAAAAGTTTTGAACAATGTAATTATCAGTATCAAGAATCTGTTCTGAGCCCAACAATCAAATACCCAGATTATCTTGAAATGGCTAGTACTAGTAATCGTCTTTACCGTAATAATGTTGGCAACTTGTTCTCTAAACAATTTTGTATTAAAAATTTAATAATTCTTTGATACATAGTTATTTATCACAAATGTTGGGATAATTTCCAAAATTTTAAAAACTAGAAGTGATATTTTTGATAAAATTTTCGGTACTTATTGCACTGCGTATGATTCAGTAAACAGAGAATTGATTCTAGAGACCTTGCGCAAGTTTAACATCCCTCATAAATTAATCAGGTTGATTAAAATGACAACTTCATCGACTAAAGCGAAAATAAAGGTACAAAACAAAATGTCCATGGAATTTGATATGGTAACTGGACTGAGACAGGGTGACATTCTTTCGACCTTGTTGTTTAATGTATGCCTTGAAAAAGTGATGCGTAACACAATATCAAATAGAGGTGGTACTATTTTTAATAGAACGAAACAAGTCCTTGCTTTCGCCGATGATGTATATTGATAGCAAAAAGCAAAAATGCACTTGTTGACCTTTTTAACACTTAGTATATACCCATATTGCCTAAAAGCAGTCAAAATGACTAGATTGTGAATGGGTAAATAAATTTGCTGAAAATTAATTTTTAACATTTTTATATTATTTACAGTTATATAACAAGTTATTAGTAAATATTAAGAATAAAAAAAATCATATGTTTTTCAAAAAGTCACAAAATTCTAAGAAATTGTGTCATTATATACATCATTGTTTTTCTAATTGAAATTAAAAGCATTCAAAATGACTTCCTTAGGCAATCTAGTGTTAAAGACTTAACCAAAGAAGCTAGTATTTTTGGTTTAGAAATAAATATTGATAAGACCAAATACATGATAATGGATTGTAAGGGAACGGATATGGACACAGAACTACAAATTAATGAAAAGACAAAATTTGAAAGAGTTAGGGAATTTAAGTACTTGGGTTCAGCTGTCACTGAAAACCAGAGATTAAGCGAAGACTAAATGCTGGAAATCGCAGTTTTTGTGCACTTAAGAGATTGCTAATATCAAAAGTAATAAAGAAGAAAACAAAACTTCGGGTTTATAAACTATAATAAAACCAACCGTTATCTATGGATCAGAGGCATGAACTCCAACCCAGAAAAAAGAAACAATGCTGATTACCTGGGAAGGAAAAATTCTTCGAACTATTTTTGAACCTGTCAAAGAGGGTGATCTGTGGAGAAGGCGACGCAATTTCGAAATTTTTCAAAACTATTTAGAGAAAAAGATGTAATCAATTATGTAAAAGCAAAGAGAATTCAATGGCTTTCTTTTTTTTTCTTTTCTCCAAGCTTTGGACATGTGCCTTGGTCATTATGGACCCTTTACCATGTAGCCCAAAGCTTGACTACTGGTCCGGCTCCACACCAGCCTAGGAACGAGCCCAGTCAGCAAGAATTTATTAACAATTTAGATATTTACAAAGTCACAATGTTTAAAAATACAAAGATTAAATACAATACAAGTTAATTACACAAAATTAAAAAAAAGAAAGAAAGAAGTATAAAAAGAAAAACAAAATAAACTTAAAGGCCGTAAAAGAGACTAAAGTAGAAAATCGGTAAAATGGTTACGTATTGAATGGAAAAATAAATGTGAGAAAAGATAAATTTCGCCTAAAAGTTGAAATTGAAGTTGTTATTGGCTTTAAGGCGTTGAAGTTCTGATAGGTAACTGGGACAAGTAGAGTGGGAGGCTTTATGGGTACAGTCATGTCGGGAATCGGAGTGTGAATTCAATGGCTTTGACACCTTGAGAGAATGGAGAAAAACAGAGGCACTAAGAAGATATTCAAGGGACTGTTCAAGGGCCAAAGGAAAAGAGGAAGGCCGACCAAGAGATGGTTAGATGAGGTGGAGAAAGATCTTAAGATTCTAAGGATCGGAAACTGGAAACAAAGAGCTGGAGACAGGCGACTTTGGAGAAAAATTGTAAGTGAGGCCATGGTTCAACATGGACTGTAATGCCAGGGAGTTAGTTTTTTACCTATTACACTGAGTAAGATTAAATAATATTTTCAGACTTTTTGAGTTTATAATAATATGAATTTCCTAAGTATAACATTTCTTTCTTCTAAATATTTTCTTCTTATTTTCAGAGGTAGACAAAAGAATGGTAATTCACAGAAATAATGGGGAATTCGGCTTCCGAATTCATGGAAGTAAGCCTGTAGTGGTTTCTTACATAGAAAAAGGTAAATATAAAGAATGCCCTGAATAATTTTTGTTAATAAAATTAATTTGTAATGTGTATGCAAATGACTGAGATTTTTGATGTTCTCATAGAGCCAGAAATTTTACTATTCTCTAATAGACTACTTATTTTCTCAGAATAGGAATAATCTGTATTTTTTTTTATTTACATTGAATTTAAGCTTTACACATTCCGTGTTTTTAATTCGGTTGTTGCTCTTCAAGAAGAAGAAGATCGCGAATACCCGCACATGGGACCTAAGACGTCAGCGCCAGCTGATCACTTATAAGCAAAATGGCGCATTTAACGTACTAACGTAATGGCGTAATTGTAACGTACAAAATTTCTCCACATAAGTCAGAATGTTGATTAACGTGAAGTTAATTATATTTAACGTCGCATCGCACATCAAATTTGTTGAAGTATAATTCTTTCCCGTCTACGTCTTTTACTTAGCTTAGATTAATTATTTGTTGATGTATTTTATTGTAACAGTGATAAATTTTTGTTTTGTGCACCTGGCAACTTCGATGCATAAGTAGTTTGTTTATGTTCTACATGGCTTCATGCCTATCTATAAAGTAAGAAATATATAGGGAACGAACTCAAATCTTTGTGAAAGAACATAGAATTTGTCAGTTAAGAGAATTTGGCGTACTCGAATTAGAATGAATAGAGCAGTTGCTAACGTAAATAAAGGCCATGTTTCAACAACCAATCAGAATCGAGATACCCACAGTACGTCACTTGCAGGTATCCCATTACGTACTCCCAACTAATCACGTGCCGAACATATTTACTTTATAGCTTTAAGGTTCGAGTTTATTATTAGGTTGACTCAATATTCGAATCAAATTAAAAGGTATGTTTGCAAGCGGCGTCACGTCACACTTGTGTACCGAACCTGATTCGCTGACCCACACGTGACTTCGCTTGCAAATATACAATTAACATAAATCGATAAAGCATATAATATATTTCACTTTCAAATGTACTATCATTGTTTTTATTATTATGTTTATTAATTTTCTCGTTTTATTCAAATATGTAAAATGCTTTTCAAATTCACTGCATTTCAATTCATTTTAAATTCACTGTATTTTAAAGTGTTATTCCAAAGCTATTCTACAGTGCTATTCCATAGTGTAATTTCCATTTATTGAAGCTGTACCATATTTCAATTTTAATTTCTTGAAGCTAATTAAAACGTAAAAATCTATCGGTTCGTGGGATATTTAAAATATGGTAATAAGATGTTGTTTTATCATTTCCATCTAGAAAGATTTTAAAATTCGATTAATTTAAAAAATCTGTATTTGAATGACTTTGAAAGTATTCAAATATTCGTGAGTATTAAAAGATAAATACAATAAACTAAAATTTGTTTTTAAAAAAAAATGAGAGAATTCATTTTAAAATAAATAAATTTTGAATTTTACTTATTGCATCTTCATACTGAACCTATATTTTTGTAGGTTTTGTAAGCGAAAGTAATTGAGGTTGAATTTCGGATGTTACTTACCATTTTTAAATGAGATCAAAATCAGTAAAATTAAAATAAAGTGCTCCCTTCAAACGAATTACTTGATGATGCATGAAAGCTTAAATATCACTCTTCTTCTTTGCATCTACATACTGTAAAAAAAGTACCGGCTCAAAGGGCACATTATCCGCAAAATCCATTTTACCGTAAAATTCAATTTTACCTTAAAATGTTATGCCGTAATTCTTACAGTAATATTTATTTAATTATGACGCCTGGTGGCTGAGCGGTAGTGCTTCGCGCTCCCTGATTCGATCCTCGGGCCGGGCAAGGTTGACTCAGCCTTTCATCCCTTCAGTGGGTCAAGAAAACTGAGGTGGGCACAGTAGGCCTTGGCCTTTTAGAGCTATCGCGCCACTGAGTTTAGTTTAGTTTAGCATTTATTTAATTATAGTCATGAAGTGATTTTACGGTAATTATTACTAAGTAATTACGGTATATCAGATTTTTTGTTTCTTAACATGTTCTGGTAAAAATGGATTTTACAGTAAAAAGTACCGGCACTGAGGGTGCCGATGCTTATTACCGAAATTTTTTACTGTGTAATCTGTCTCCATAAAATCATTCAGTTGTTTTAAATACGCTTATTTATCTAGATACTTTTGAGAAACACACACTTAATGAAACTATTAATCATTACTCAATGGGTTTATAATGACGAGCCTACATACTCAATAACGAGTCACTGATTGTATACTCCAAATTTACATGATTTATTTCTAATTAGGAACTCCTGCAGACATCTGTGGCCTTGAGATAGGAGATATTATAGTTTCTATCAATGGTCTTAATGTTTTGGATGCCAATCATTCGGAAGTAGTAAAACTGGCTCATTCAGGTAAGTAATCCTAAATCCTCAGAATCATTTATTACGTGCATTATAAATTTGCTAATTTCGAAGAGAGCTGCAGCCACTCTTCGTTTTGCCCCTGATTTTTGCTTTTACAATAGCCGACCGGCTGTACAGTGGTCAGGGAGCTTACCTGAAGTCCGAAAGGTTATGGTTTCGAATCCCGGATAAGGCATAGATATTCTTCCCTTCTCTTCGCCGAACTGTTTGTCCTTCTTACTGTGGGAGCAACGTTGGCCCACTTAATATGGTGCCCCCAAGAGAGTGGTGAACAAATCTACCCTTCTGATAGCCGAATGACAAAAATTCAATATCCGTGTGAGCATTGAAAAAAAACAATAGCCATCAGATTATTTAAAAGTTTTTATCTCATATATTAAGCTTTTACCCACATTTTAAAAAAATCTGTTCAACGTCTAACCATAATTTCGATGGCTTCAGATACATTTTGAAATATAGTGCAAATTTATCACAATAATATGGTTCAACTTATCGTTTTAGACTAGCCAATATTTTATTAAGGAAGTCGCAAATGACATTATGGTTCAAGACATTTTGAAATTCCATGCAGTATGCTAATCGCTAAAAATTTATTGAAATACTTGAGTTGCTAGGTTCAGCTTTTACAGCCTCTACGTTTAGGACAAAGCGTGAACCCGGATATATGTTACAAGAAATTTTAATTTAGCAAATGTGCCACATACAAGTTAACACTTATGTCATCAATACACAAGCTCTCAAATGTTTTTCACCCATAAGAAAACCATTATTGTTTTTAAATGCCTCCACCGATTGCAATGTAAAGTTTGAAAGTCATATTTTTTAAAAGCCATACATGAAATGACAATACCGTCATTGTGTGGTGATATCTACAGGAAAGAATTTGTATGAGCAAAATCTTTCAAAACCCGTTTGCATTCTAAAATTTTCTTTTTTGTAAACACAAACAAATAAGAACAAAAATTGTAGACAAAAGAATTAAAAACAAATATGTCGATGATATTCTACTTTTTCTAAGTTTCCTTTGAGTTCAGTTATTGTTGTTTTTCTGTTTTTCTTCACTATTGTAGTACGACATATTACTGTATCCACGATTGTAGTAGGACATTATTGTAATAAGACGCTATTGTAGTATTGTATAGTACAGTATTGTATAGTATAGTGTAGTATTGTATAGTATTGTATAGTATTGCATAGTATAGTATTGTATAGTATAGTATTGTATAGTATAGTATTGTATAGTATAGTATAGTATGACATAGTATTGTATAGTATAGTATTGTATAATATAGTATTGTAGCATACTCTAGACATTGTAATATCTGCTGTTGTAGTAAGACACATTAGTTTGACTTGTTTTTACCTTCACTAAAATGTAATGAAACAGTCTAAGTAACATATGATTTTCAGATAACCGAAGAATAATTTTTCTATTTAATCTCGTAGTCCCTAAAGATTTATAAGCTTAAATATCTGATCTACGTTGTTACTGCCATTGAAATATCACACTAATTCAAAATTAATTACGAATCCATGCCTGCTTAGTCCATTCTGAATAAATAAACTCACCAATTATAAATCTCTTTTCACAGGGACAGAAGTTCTTAAAATGGAGGTGAGTCGGACCTGCCATGTTCTAACTCCGGTGCTAAGTGATAGTTTAAATCCTCCTGTGTTTTCTGGTTTTCTTCAGAGGTTAAGTGTGAGCAGCCAATACAGTCACAAATGGTGCCGGCGTTGGTTCGCTGTAAAACTTGACGGTGTCCTTTATTGGTACAAAACCTGTGAGGTAAGCCCTTGTCGAAACGATTTAACTTTTGATACAAGGATATTATGTAAAATTTCCAATATTGGTTGGGAAATATTGGTTAAGCCAGTATTGGTTGGGTAATTTAGGATTTCAATTTTAACACTACCATTTTGAGCATGATCTTGAAGATACTCGGATAACCTAAGCCAATGATAATTGGTAAATTTAGAATTTAGATTTTAACACTGTAGTTTTTAGTGCGATTTTGCCATAAATTCCTTGTTTTGGGTTGATATTTTAAAACTCAGTGGGAATTAAATGTATTTTCTTTTACGTTAATACCCTTTCCCCTGCATGTCTTATTTTAAATACCTTAATTCTAACTCCAATGAATAAGTTTTTACAGTCTAGCAGTAACATTTAAGAGTAATCGCTGATTTTTCTGCATTGAATAGTTTTTAAATGTCTACTTTTTTGCAACTTCGGGCAATTTTTTAGGCATCGTAATATCGAGCTCTAACTCATTATCAAAATGTGGTTAAGTAAAATTAAATTCTGCTATGTCTAATATAACAAAAGTGGGATTTCTTGTAGCTATATTCTTCTATGGGGATACGAATAAGGAAATATTAAACTATGTTTTCAATAAGAAAACAAAAAATGAACTTGAATTTTTTTTCCGTATTACGAAGGATGAGGAATGATTACGTAAGCTATTTTCTTCCCCTTATCCGGAAAAATCCTTAGTGAATTGAAAAACCTCTACAACTGGAGAAAAAAACATTTTATTTTTCAAAACAAATTTTATTATTGCATTTTTTTTTTTACCTTCGCTTATTTTTTCGGACTTGGAGGAAACAATTCGCATGCATTTTTTCCTTCTATATCATCTGCTTTCAAGTAAGTGGTATATTTCATTCTTATTAAATCATTCATTTCAGAAAATAGACGAGCCCCTCGGTGCTTTGGCGCTTCAAAATCAGTCAATAAGTCGCGTCCCAGAGGCCGGGGCGCCACACGCCTTCAAGGTGTCCAAGTTCGGCGAATGCCCATTTTTCTTTTCTGCCGACGATGAGGATACCGCCACAAGGTAATCACAATTCACTGATTTCTTTAAGCTTCAATCCAAGTACCATAGTTAATTTATGTCCAAGATAAAAATAATTGATTAATTATGTTTCATAAATTATTTGAGTTTTTGACCTATATATGTAACAAAGAACAAAAACATATGATTTCCAAAACTTCGAAAACTTAAAAAAATAAATAATTAATTATTAATATTTAATTAATAAATAATTAATAAATAAATAATAATCAATTAATAATAATTAATTCATAATTAATTCATAATAATTAATTAATAATCAATTCATAATAATTAATATTTTATTACTATCTTTGAGAAAAGATAATCTTCGATTTATACAGAGTGTTCTGTAATCAACGCCCTTAATATACATCTCTTTTTCGATAACATTTTTCTTTCTTAAAAATAAGTAAAGAAAGGGTCACAAATTAATAATTAAGTGAAGATGAATAACTGTTAATCGCAAATGAGAAAGGTAGGAGGAAAAGCGTTGAAACCAATACGATTGCCTGATGAAACTAGGAGGCGTCTCTAATAAGCATCCTTTCAGCTCCTACCTGCTTTCTTTGACAAACAAAATAATTAATTTTTGTCCCGCCTTTCTTATTAATGATTCGTTAGAATTCGATGACGTTTTTTTTCCCTCATTTTAATATTAATTTGTGCTCCTTAACTTTGTAAATTTCCTTCTACTTCGTTTTTGAGTTCAAAAATTTATATTAAGGGCGATAATTTGGGAACAACTTGTATAAAAAACTCTGTTAAATAAAGTCAATCAAGGATTTAATGAGCCGTTCAAAATAATAAGCTATTGTGCATTCAAAAGCATTCAAAATAATGAGGTTATATGCACATATTGAGCATTCAAAATAATGAGATAAATTGAAAAACTGCCCAATATTATTGCAATAAAATTAATTATGTTTATGCTAATTTTGCAAGAAAAATTTCATATCTGTTATATTCATTGCAAACAAGTTAAAAGCACTGAAAGAAAAAAAAAGAAGTTCTGAAAGGAAATGTTTTTTTTTAAACTTCTCATTTTTGATTTTGCTTAAAATCATATTTAAAAAGAAGACTTTTTGAAAAAATTTTCTTGCCTGCGAAAATAATGCCGAAAATACCTGATTCCTGCTCTCAATTTCAATATGGCTTTCTTTTTTTTCAGTAATAAATGTTATTGTACAAACAAATTTTCAAACAAACACACCTTGATCAAAATAAATAATCCCAATAAACTGAAGCAGTTAGATATTACTTGCTTAAAAACTTCATTCACTTCAAAAATCTACAAATATGAAATAACAGTCAACATGTTTCAAGCACTTCAAAAATAGGCGCTCATTCTTAAGATTTGCAGGACGTGAATGTAAGGAAACAAAAATTATTCGAAATTTAAAAAAAAACGTAATAGTTGCCAACTAAAAATGGAAAAATGAAGGTGAGAAACAAAACTAGAAAAACCACAGAAAACGAGAGAAGGGGAAAAGTTGTTGTAGCTCATTTACGATGCACTAGAGCTGCACAATGATCTATTTGCGACGGGCCGGGAAGCATCGCTGAGGATAATCCGAGGACATACCATCACAATTTTGATCCTCTGTAGAGCGGATGGCACCCTTTCTTCGGTAGCCTGACGATCTGCGGTCGAAGTCGGGCACTTTACGGTAGAACAGTTTAATGAGGACCAATATCGCACACCCTCGTACCCTTCACAGACTGATCAAAGTGGTCACCCACGCGCACACTGACCACAGCCTTGACTTCGCTGTTCTACTGGGAATCGTGTTTTTACGATTCGTCAACTGTGGTACGAAAAAAGATGAATAACAGAGCAAGAAAAATTCCCGTAGCCGAGAGGCAAATCAGTTTAAAATACATTTCCACGCATTATGGAGAGAAGGGGAGTAACTAATGTCGTTAACTAGGGAATCAGAATTCAAATGAATAAAATAAAAACTTTTGCTTCCTGTTCTGTTTTATTGTCTTTTTCCTCTTTCTCTCGGCTTCTATGGTTCTTCGAGTTACGTTTCTCGCCTTAATTTTACCATTTTTCGCTGACAACTTTTAGTTTTTTCTTTATTTCAAATCATTTTAGTTTCTTTAAATTAGCGTCTGACAAGTCTTGAAAATGGGCGTCTGTTTTTGAAGTGCGTGAAACATGTCGACTGTTGTTTCATATTTGTGTATTTTTAAAGCGAATGAAGTGTTCAATCAGGTCCTTGATCATATTACTATGAGAAACATCGATAGATATTTTTCACCTCCATTTTATATAAATATATTAATAAATATTTTCTGCCAATAAATATCAAATCATTCATTTTTTTTCAGATGGATCAGTGCCTTGAACCAAGTTGCTGCAACAGCTTCACGGGTAATTTCATTCATAATTTCATTTATTTTTTTAACTAATCATTCATTATTTTTTTCTTAATTTACTGTTCATTTTAGTTTTTAGCATTTTAGTTAAATTTCAATTTGTTTTTAATTTCAATTCATTTTTCGTTTAATTTTTAGTCTGTTTGAATTTATTTTAAATTTAATTTTTTTCTTATTTTACAGTAATTTTTATTTTATTTTGAATGATTAATGAGAAACTGCCATTACTTACTTATCTATTTTAAAATAAACTAACTTAACACCTCTAGTAATAGAAAGTTTATTAAAATCGTATCTGTTTTTCAAAATAAAATAAAAGCATTTTGAGCTCTAGATTACCTTATAAAAATATTAATTTTCTTTATTTAAACGAAGCATTACTTACTTTAAAATTTTTCATTTCCTCTGGAATTCAGTATTATTACTGTAAAATACTTCTATTTATTGTGAAAATATTAAAAGAAATTATTACACACTCTTCTGAAACACTATCTTAGATTCTTAAGAAAAACAATTTTCAAAATGCTCAAACAGATTCTTTGAAGTTTTTTTCAAACATTGCTCATGAAAATAAAAATTGTGTCCAAACTGTACCTAACTCTCAACAACCTATGTGTTTACTTTTTAATAATTTTTTATCTAATGAGGCAATGAAACCCTCCGTTTACCGGAGCAAAAAATTTACTCTGACAAGCAAAATAAAGATTTGTCATTCTTCAGAAACATCAAGAACAAGTTTCTGAAGCCACCTTCGGTCTCATGCTCACTAGCAATCTCATCACAAAAATGCGAAAATGGTTTGATAGCTTCCTATAATATATCAAAGTTAATTGTTAAATCTGGAAAAGCTCATACCATCGGCGAAGAGTTAACACTGCCAACTGTCAGGAAAGTTTTAAAAACAGTTTTACACCATCCAGTCGCATCCAATGTAATCAAAAATATCCCATTAAGCAACAATACAGTGTGGCAACGGATTGATGAGATGGCTGAAGACATTGAAGTTTCCTTATGCAAACTTTTGATATCCAACGTATTTTTCCTTCAAGTGGATGAGTCAACAAGTAATAAGGCTTTACTGTTGACTTACGTCCGGTTTGTGAAGGAAAGAAAAATTATTCAAGAGATGCTTTTTCAAGAAACTTGATTGTAGTTACCAAAGGAGAATATATTTTTAATACTGTCGAAGATTATCTTAAAGAGAAAAACATTCCTCTTGCGAATATGTATTATGTTTGTTGCCACTTCTGCAATGGTGGGTCGACATCGTGGGCTTATTACCCTTTTGAAGAGGGTGGTACCAGATATTTTAGCTGTTCACTGCTTCATTCACAGACAGCATTTAGTTGGAAAAAAAGTTCAGCGACCGTTTTCATCAGTCATTGCAATATGTTGATCTCTTCTGTGAACGAAATTCGCAGTAATGCTCTTAACAATCGATTATTCAGACAGTGTGTAAGAAAAATGATGAAGAATTCAATCGCTTACTGCTACACACTAAAATTTGCTGGCTTTCCCAAGGCGACTGTCTCAATAGGTTTTGGAATCTTTTCGACTCTGCGCTTGAGTTCCTCGAAGACAGAGACGTAGCTCTGAGACAGATTTGCGGGAATTTAAGATTGACGTTGCATATATGACGGATTTATTTGCAAAATTTAATGATGTAAATTTACAACTTCAAGGAGACGAGCTCGATTTGGTCAATAGAAAATCAGTTATTTCTGCCGTTCTAAAAAAACTCATTTTGTTGAATCAAAATTTCGGTCGAAATGATTTCAGCTAATTTCCAATCTTATTGGGTCTTAAAAAGAATGGTGAAATTCCCTCTGATGATATACAAGAATATTGTCAACACCTTGAGTCTTTGCACATTGCTGAGCGTTTTAAGGATGTTTTGTCTCCGTAAGTCCCTCAATGGGTTTTAAACTCTTTTGTGAATGCTAAAACTGCAGAGGTTCAGATTCAAAAGGAATCGGCCGAACTTTCAACTAATGAAACTTTGAAATGGTGATAGTCTCACAGAATTTTACCTTCAAGGTACCATCAGTCGCCTTAACCCAGAACTGTGGACTATCGTCAAAAAATGCTTAATTGCCTTCCCTTCCTCCTACCTAGTCGACTACTTTTTAGAGTAAAAAAAACATTTTCGAGTGTTTTTTTAATTATATTTTTTTAATTATATTTGTTTGATTTAAAAAAAAAAATATTTAACGCGTAAGAAAATTACTTGAAAATGTTGCCTCTTATAATTCAGCATATCCCCTCCATCCCAATACTCTAAATAACTGGATTTTCACAAAGGGGACGTTGAAATTTTTTGCTGCTTAGGGTGTCGGCTACGTTAAAAAGGCTGAGAATCTATGCTCTAAGGTATCATGATAAAATAATCAAACTTAACTACACTTACCTAATTTTTTTATATATTATGAGAACATATTTTATTGTTAATGCCAAACCATTGCCAAAGTGCATGTTCTGGTAGTTTTAACGTTGCTCTTTTTTCTCAGTGCACTACATTTATTAAATTTTTCTTCCTCTAAGGAACCTGTAGCATTTCGGAACATTTTTGTGGTCTGTATTTAAATATTATACCAAAACCATTTTCATTTTATAATAATTACAAGACCATTGCCAAAGAGCTTCGACAAAAATTGCCAAGCTCTTTGGTGTTCCCATAGAGCTAAAAAACACGGTAAATTTTACCATATTTTGGTAGTTTTAACGTTGCTCTTTTTTCTCAGTGTGCTATACTTATTATATTTTTCTTCCTCCAACGAACCTGTAGCATTTCGTAACATTTTTACTGTCTGAATTTAAATACAGCCCGATTCAAATTGCAATCACAATGTACTCAACAATCTACTACTAGTTTTTACATCTAGTTGTTATTACTTATTCTAGTGTCCAGTTATAGCACAAAGAATAATTTTTGTTGCAGGCGGACCCGTACGTGGACGAGTGCCTGCGGAATGCCCAACTGCCTCCCATTTCAATTCCAAACGTCATCTGCCAGGGTCCACTGAGTAAGCTGAGTCAGCGTTGGAAAGCATGGCGTAAGCGCTTCTTCCTCCTAAAAGGCGCATCACTTTACTTTTACGCCGACCGCAACGCCAAAGTTGCCTTAGGTAATGCCTTTATTTATTTTTATTTTATATTTTGTAATCGGCGTCAATGTTCAACTCCATGGCCTTGTTATCTTGAACCTAAGCTAGAACACAAGAGAACTCCTGAATCAAGCATTAGGGCAAACTAGCATTCTTGAAAAACTTTCTGATATAACTAACCTACATTTGCCTTACATGGGGAAGAAAAACCACCTGAACCTTCCACGGTTACACCGATTGCAACGAAATTCTAACCCATGATCGGTCTTCCACTGAATTTATTTTGTGGTTGGTGCGATGAGGGAGATGAATCCTTCTCAACTAGTCACCTCTTAGATTCGAAGCTGGGTCATCTCATTGGGAGAAGAACCCTCTATTCCCTGAGCCACCGTAGCTCACTTATCACTATTCAATAGTAAATACAAAACTAAAATAATGACTAGCTTATATTGTATATACAGGATGTATAAATTTTTTATTTCTGCATCTAAAGGTGCCACCCTAAACTAATGTAAATCTAACATGGCGATGAAATTCATTGAAAAAACCTAATCATATATTTATTTTAAACAAGATTCTCTTCCGTAAAGGAATGATATTATTGAACTAAATTCAATCGTTAATCAATTAATGCTTACTCAGTTCTTGACGAATTTATCCTTTTAAGAAGCCTTGTGACATTACTATGCAAGTCTAGCAAGTCCTTGGCTTAAAAACGAAAAAAGTGTTTTTTTAAACTATCAACTGTTAATTGAATCTTTGTGTCCCTGGTGTAAGAACAAACGTGCTTGTCTTTACTTGTCTAGTTCATAAAAAATGACAAACCTGCTTCAACGAGGAAGGTCGCTGCAATGGAGTCACAATGAAGTATTCATTGGGATTAATATTTACTTCGTCTTAACGGGGGGAATCTATGTTCGTATTACAGAATGCAATTACTAATGTTTTTCAATGTAACGTGATAGGTAAACTGTTTTTCTTCGTCTTAAGCGAAAATTTATGCTAATTGTTTCCGTCTTAACGAGTTCCGACTGCCGTTTAAAAATTAATCATAGACCTTGTTAAACTAAATAAGTTAATTATATTCCTTGATCGCTTAGTCGCATTTCATTTATTTCATCAACTTCTTGTGATTATGTCAGTTAACGCAATAAATTATTTTAATGTTTATTTGATTCATATTAGAGATAACTTTTTTATGATCATTTATGTACATTTTAGGTCTCTTTCAATTGCATGGTTACAAGGTCCAAAGCTGTAGTTATCAAGGAAAGAAAAATACATTTGAAGCAGTACCACCGGAGCCCAGACTGAAGCATCTTTATTTTCTAGCAGATTCAGAAACTGATAAGAAAAGGTAACGCATTTCATGATTTTTAATAACCTAATTTTCTTATATATACAGCGGAAAATGTACATCAATGAGGCTGTTTATGCATACGTGAAGTTAATAAGTTTATATTCATAAAGAAGAGTTTTATTCTACATCATTTACGAACAAAAAGTTTAAGCGACAGTTGGAGGTGTAACTTTTAGAACATAACTCATTTAAAAACGTATAAAAATTCGACTAATTGTTTCCAAGCTTGGGATTTCTTATTTACTTGAAGCTGGATCCATTATTTTTAAGACGAATCAGAGTCCAGTTTCCTCCTCTTAAATATTAATTAGTGATCCTTCACTTATGTGCAGTTTTGGCAAAGACTACATAAATACATATTAAGGGTGGTAATTACAAGACTTGCAAAGCTCAATGCATGTATAACTATATGTAACTATATGTACATAACTATATGTATATGTAACTATATGTATATATAACTATATGTATATATAACTATATGTATATATAACTATATATATATATGTAACTATATGTATATATTACTATATGTATATAACTAAATCTAAAAACTATATTGCTTTATCTCCCTAAATATGATGTTAAACAACCCAAAAAATTGTGCAAGGGCACTCTTCCGGGTTAACCAAGTCGAGCTTTCGATTTAAAAGATGTAATTTAAATCGAAACACTTCATATTTAATAAACTTATACCAAACTTTTGCGCTTTTTCTTTGTACCAGAATTATTTTCAATTCCGAAATGTTGGCGCTCTTTGAATATCAAGAAACGCCAAATAGAATAGTTTGTTTAGAATCTGGAATAAGCTAGCTAGAGTTACTTGTCATTTTCGACGCTGATTTTTATAAACAGAAACAAAATTTCGCCGTTAAATAATTTTGTATATTTTTATATGTGTAATAAGGATAATTATACTTCAATTTTTAAATCTCTTAGAAATGTATTAATTGATTTTTTAACGTATAATTTCTATCCACTTTGTTAAGCCTGGTTTGGATTTATCCTGTGCAACGCACATGTTTATTTACGAACTAATTTAATTTTAAAAATTGGTGTTTACATGCATTTTCAATTAATGATTCTTACCTTATATTGTATTGTAAAAATAATTTTACTGACTCTAAGGTATATTTTACCCTACTGTAATTATAAATGTGAATGTTATTGAATAACAAAAATGGTGGCGGCTACTTCACACCAAGTAGTGTAAAAGAACATAGGTATAATGAAACATTAGATCCATGAACATTAGAAACATTAGTTACATATGGTGCTTAACTACACCACTTTAGTGTAAATTGGTTACCACCATTTTTGGTGTTCAGATACATTATTATTTTTTTACAGTTCACAATTGGGTCATTTAATGATATGCTTTTTAATTATCTTTGTATTCTTCATCGTAGCCTTTCACTTTTCAAGACCAATGTAATTATTTTATTTCTCAATATTTTTTATCTTGTTTTTCAGGTGGTTAGCCGCACTAGAATATTCAATTGATAGATGGATTAAAATTGGATAACGATGGTGATCCTAGCTCCATCAATATCAATAATGTGTAAAAAAAAAATTATTAAAACACGTGGTCCAATATATGCTCAGTTAAGAGATGAGAGTTATGTAAAATGATCATTGTATATGCCATTTGTGGATGTCAATGAAGTTTTGTACAATGCGAATACTGTTGTAAGAGATAATCATATTGTTGAAGTTATCAACAAACCATGATGAAATGCATTTTCTAACTTCAATCTGTTCGATCGAATTATATTTATGCTTTGCGTAAACAAATGACAGTATTATTACTAGAGTCGAATCAAATCTTCCAGGAAACAAAGAAAAGTTATTATATTATTTTAATAACTTTAAGTAAATAAAATAAAATTACATTTCAGTTCCGTCAAATCTACGTTAAATAAATAAAAAGGAGTGTAATAAGCCAATTTTTTATCATTATCCATTTTTATAATTTAATGTTTTATTCTAATAGCATCATAGGCAAATCATATTCTTTCCAAATTTTAGTCAGCAATCATCAATGCGTTTTCAAAGTAATTGACATACATCATGCAATTAAATATAATTAACAATTTCTTTCAATGCTAATGAAAAAGAACTTTTTTTTTCATTCTCTAAGATTTTGAATTCCAAAACTGGAATTGTCAGCTTTCACAATACAGAATATTTTTTGATTTAATCTAGGTTTATATTCTATGAATTATAACTAGCTTCTTTTTAATTTATTTTCATACTTAACAAAATTCATATTTAAATTTTATATTATTATTATATTATTTATATTTAAATTTTATATTATTTTAGTATCATTATTAAATATAACCAAATATTATATTTAATAATATTAAAAATTAAATATTATTAAATATTACCAAATATGTATGCTATATTACCAAATATATTTATAATAACTATTGAATGTCATTGATTATGTAAATGGCTTATAGTAGCTAAATGGCTGAATACTTCTTAGTTAAATTTTTATATTACAACTTTATGTTTATTCTTTTACTGCTTCAACTCAAAAATTATCCGGTTTAATTTTTGTGTTATTAGAATAAAATTTATCATTCGATCTGTTATGATATGTTTCCATTTATGAAATGCTTGTTTAATTTCTGTTTGAGCAATAATTTTGTGATAAATTTCTGGAACTTTTCTGAAAATATAAGATGAGAATATTTTAGAACAACTATACTAAATTAACAATCTTACAATAAATTATAATAATATTTATATTAGAAGACAGAATTTTATTTTCACTCAGTTGCTTTTCGTAGTTTTGTTTTTTACTTTAAAAAGAAAAGAAAAAAAGTGCTGATTTTGTTTTTGTTTGTTATGCAAAGTTTTTCTTCTCGGTAACATGACTTAAATTCGTCAATATTAATGACTATTAATTTTATTATAAAGTGTTTTTAGAGAACGTTCGAAATCATTTTCTTTATATGACGAAAACCTATCAAATTTCCCAGATAATTTTTAAATCTTTATATACCTTTTTTTAAATACGATTTCATTTACAAACATTTTTTTGCGTAAACTGACTTCAAAACCGAAGAAAAAAATGTTTGTTAAGTAAGGTGAATGCGTAATGATAAATGCGAGACGCATTTCATGTGCACGCATTTCACCCAACATAAAAATTGGCTTATTATACGCAACAATTAATCCAAGGACATTAACATATTTATTGTTCATAATTATATCAAAAACTTTTCTTAGTGATAATATAACTTACTTGTGAACAGAGATCTATATAAGAGTATGTGTAAGCTATAAACTTGCCAAACATGTGAGACATTTTTTATACTAAATGTGTCTATATGTGCAGTATTCGATGAAATGAAAGTGAATTGTGTCTGTTTATACTATGTTATACTATGTAATTCTAAAATTCTAGCTTTTTTTTTTAATGGACTATGGATTGAAGTTCGTTTCGTTCGTGAATTAAAATATATTTGCTATGAAAGAAAGGAAAATATAGTATCAAGTTTAAGAACATGAAGAGTTTATAAATGTTTTAAAATAAATATAAATACTGCCCAAAATTGTAACAATTGTTGATTTAATAGGGTGTCTTAAGAAATCACAATGTGAGAGAATTTTAAGGACAGATTAAGTTAAATACTATGTACTTGTAAAATAAGAAAAATTCTTATGTTTAATAACATAGGATATTCGGTAAAAGTCACCTTAAAATATATTTGTTAAACTTCACTTCAAGAAAAAAGTTTAAAAAAAATGCAAATTAAGAGTTACATATTACTATGCAAGTGGGAAAAAAACGCTACCAAATAGCAACTGAGGAAAATTGGACTAAAAACATCAGCTTTTTAGAAAAACCTCCAGATTACTTCAGGTTTAAATGTTTCTTATATCGTCTTCCTCATCGGCTATTTGATAAATTTTAATGTTTTTTCGTTTCGGTTTTAATGCTTAAATACGAATTTGCGATCATAATGTTTATACTTTTCTAACTTAAACTTTAACATTAACTAAATTTATTGTAAAATTGTTTACTTATTGTGATCCAAAAATACTCAAAATATCCTATCAATTGAACTTTGGGATTTAATTTCAAGTACTACTATAAAAGAGCTTTGAAGCAGTGTAAGTTTAAGGTAATTCAGAAATTACCAAAAAAGTATAATTGTTAAAAAGTTAAATGATAGAAAAAAATGCTGAGCATTAAAATTACTTAATGTTAATTTAGCAGCATCAAAAGCATATAGTATTTAAACTTCAAGATTTATCAAAATAAATTGATCTATTATAGTAAAAATGCATAGCTTTAAATAGTTTTTTTAATTGAAAATAAAGGAAGATCTGCGTTTTCTTTATAAAAAAAGAGACATTCTATTTCTATGGAAATAATAAAAAATTGCTAAGTATAAAATTTTCTTCATTATGAAAAGAATGGTATATTTCAAAATACTTTGGAAACATTTTTTTCATTATTATATAAGTAATCGAAATTTCTTAGTCAAAGTTAATAGAAAGTAATTAAATTAACGTTAAAAATGTGTGTAATTTTAAACTATTATTTTTACAGAATGCTTTAAACTATGTATTAAATAACTATTATAACTAAATTATTATTTATAATATGTATTTAAAATATATGTTATAAATTTCATTATTAACAGAAATATTTTTTGAATACTATAGCAAATAATAACCTTCTCAAAACACTTTCATTATCAAACTAACTGAGCAGTTTTTGAAAATATTGTAATACTTTCGTAAGGAAAACCTAAACCCAAGTTTTATATTTGGACAAAACAATTCACATTGTGTATAATTATGACACTCTATTTACTATAATTCTTGAACTTTTTGTCGCACAACAAAATGTATTAATTTGACTAAATCATTTATTTATGTTTATGCAAACTTAGTGTGATATTTTTAAACTTTGTTAATACAGGCTGCTGCTTTTTATTTTCTGTTATATGCAGCAGATACTGGCTTATTGTTTATGTTATGACATTTTTATTGTATTAATTATTTAAGTTTATATACATATAATTTTATGTTTGCTCAATATATTTTACTGCTCGGCCGCTCAATATTTATTATAAATTAATTGTTTTATATGTGTAAAATGATACGCAAACAGTACACAGAGAAAAAAAATTCAAGTAAAACTTCCGTAGTGTATGATAATTACATTCTGGAAGAAAAAAAAATCATAATTAAAGTATTAAAACTAAAAATCAAAGGTATTAAAAGTATTAAAGTATTAAAACTAAAAATTTCAAAATTGTAGTTCTTATTACCAAACATTTAGTAAAAAACGCAAAATTGTAAAGTAACTGAATAAATGGTTTTAATGCCATTTTCTAAGGTATCCCGATAAATTTATCAAATTTCGCCACATTTACTAAATTTTATAATGCATTATGACAATGTATTTCATGTTATCTGGTTGAAATCATCAAACATTAAAAAATATACAAAAATGAAATGACAGTTTATATGTTTCAAGCGCATTAAAAATAGGCTCCCATTCTAATACATTTTACTCTGATTTATACTTTGATATCTATTTTAATACTTTTATTACAGAACAACAAAAAACACAGTGGCCTCTCGACCACTGCGTTTTTTTATTTTTTTTTCTATCTCGCCTTCTGTTTTTTTTTTAGTTTTTGTTTCTCAACTTAATTTTTCCATAACTAATTATTGGTAATAATAACTAAAAATTGGTAACCTTAATTTTGCTTTTCTAATTATTTCTGTTTTGTTACTTTAACGTCTGTCAAGTCTTGAAAATGAGCGCTTGTTTTTGATGCTCTTGAATCATGTCAACCCTCATTTCATTTTTGTATATTTTTGAAGCGTATGAAGTTTTCAGTCAAGTAATATCGTACCACTTCAGTCTCTTGGGATTACTTAGCTAACCATATTTTATGGTTAATTCAACCGAATTCATTATCAAAACGCTTCCTTTAAAATTAGCTAGATTTTTGGTGTTTATATTGAGCCTGAAACACGGTAAGTTTAATCATACTCTGGTAGTTTTGACCATACTTTTTTTTCTCTGTTTTTTTTCCCAGTGAGTGTATATTGAATTTTCTTGTTTGTAACTCAATGCTAAATACTGTCCTCTAATACACAAAATCTTTTTCTTTATGGTTCTAGTAGATCTATATGCGTTTATTGTTATGTTAGTTTACCTAATTTTGAAATTTTGACTATTTGTGCTTTATTTAAAATCGACAATAATGCGGCAATTGAATTTACGTTATCTAGCCCAAAATGCAATATTTGTTTCAAAAGTACTTCTAAAATAAATTTTATAATAAATGTAAGCCAGAAAATTAGATTATTGCTTAATATAAAAAGCTTCGAATGTCATTTTGTAACTTGAATTTCATATAAAAATATAATTTTTGTCTTTTTGAACTTAATTTAACATTTTACCAAATATCAACTATTTTAAACCTAAGACAATATTGTTGAATTAAAAAAATAACGAAACTTTTTTTCAAATTCTACAAGAATATGTTTTTGCAAATCAGATGGCTAAAAGAGTGAATTATCTTTGTACAAATTCAAGCGTTCAAAGTTATCACATAACAAATTCTTTACTAGAAATTTTAGAATAGATGAAAAATGTACATAAATATCATCTACAGTATTATGGATTTCAGAGCTTCTATAAATAGAAAAGATATATTTAAATATAATTTAAATCTCCTATAAAAAAAATAGACCATTAATTCATAGATTTAGACTTTCAGTGTTGTTATTCTTCATTAAATATATAAATTGGTTCCTAAAATTGCTTTGAACATTTATCTAAATAGTTAGATAATTCTCTTTACGCTACTTTTGTTATTATTATTTAAAACAAATATTTTAAAATGAAGTTTTATTTT